CTATCAAAAGTGTCATTTTTAGGGGTAACGTTAATTCCAGCATGTCTGATATAATACAGGGAAGGAAGCTTGAGTTTGTAGAAGCTATGAAGCTTGAAATTGAACGTCTACGTCTAAATATTTCTGCAGCGGAAAGAGATAGGGCACTTTTATCACCTGGAATTGATCCTGCCACTATTAATCCAAACTCTGCGCACGACGAATTATATATTGGAAGATTGTGCAGAATAGCAAATGCACTTGCAGTTCTGGGCCAGGCTTCTCTTGAAGATAAAATTATAGGTTCTATTGGTCTAGGGAAGCTGGAAAATAATTTGATAGATTTCTGGAACATTACCGGAATTGGTGAGGGTTGTGGTGGTGGAATGTGCCAAGTCCGAGCCGAGGTCAATAAAAGTCCAGTTGGATCCTCTGCCAAGAGTTTGGGAGGAGAGTTGGGCTCAATGTTCTTGTGTTTCCAATGTATGAAAAAAGCTTGCAAGTTTTGTTGTGCCGGAAGAGGAGCTCTTCTGCTTTCAAAAGCCTACTCCAGGGACAGTGCGAATGGCGGTGCAAGTCTTGCAGATGTCTCTGCTACTTCAATAGGTGGTTCAGATCAGTACATGTGTAAAAAATGCTGCAACACGATAGTACTTGAAGCCTTGATTGTAGATTATGTTAGGGTCTTGGTCAGCTTGCGAAGAAGTGGCCGTGTTGATAGTGCTGGTCGGGAAGCTCTGAATGAGGTATTTGGATCTAACATTACGAATCATCTTGCTGTTAAAGGTCAGCCTTCTACTAATCAAGAAGACTTTAATTTCCTTCGTCAAATTCTTGGTCAAGAGGAATCACTTGCTGAGTTCCCATATGCAAGCTTCTTACATAAGGTAGTTTATTTATTTCTTACATAAGGCCTGTGGCTGAACATCTTTTCTTTGTTCTTATATGCATGGTATTAATAATATGGATGTTTCTAATTTGAATGTTTGCATAATGCAATGTAGGTCGAAACTGGGACTGCTTCAGCACCATTTTTGTCATTGCTCACCCCTCTCAATCTTGCTTCAAGTAATTCCCACTGGAAAGCTCCTCCGTCTTCAGACTCTGTTGAAGCCGTCATCATTCTCAATAACCTTTCAGATGTCAACAGTGTGATTCTACTCGTTAGTCCATGTGGTTACTCTGATGCTGATGCTCCTACCGTAAGTTGACATTTCTATTTTCAATTGAATTTGTGTTGCCACAATAATGTCATGATTACACTCATTCCAACATTTTACGTATCTACATTGCAGGTCCAAATTTGGGCAAGCAACGACATAAATAAGGAAGCACGGACATTGGTGGGGAAGTGGGATGTACAGTCCTTAATTAGATCTTCGCCTGAGCTCTACGGTCCAGAAAAATCTGGTAGAGCACCTAGGCATATAAAATTTGCTTTCAAGAATCGTGTTCGTTGCCGCATTATATGGGTAACACTGCGTCTTCCTCGGCTTGGATCTAGCTCAGTTAGTCTTGACAGAAACATTAATCTCTTGTCTTTGGATGAGAACCCTTTTGCTCCGATCCCTCGGCGTGCCTCTTTTGGAGCAACCATTGATAGTGAACCATGTCTTCATGCAAAACGCATCTTGGTCAGCGGAAACACCGTGAAGGACAAAACACTTGCATCATTACAAAGTGTTGAGAGCATGAGCGTAAGAAACTGGCTGGACAGAGCCCCACGTTTCAATAGATACCTGGTTGGTACCTTAGTGAACTACTTGCTCTTTCACCCTTTTCTATGGCATTTCCATTATTTCCACTAAATTTTGTTTGTCTTTCAGATACCACTTGAGGTTGAGAGACCGATGAACAATGATCTAGTTCTGGAACTTTATCTGCAACCTGGTTCACCTTTAGCTGCTGGATTTCGCTTAGATGCTTTTAACGCCATAAAGCCTCGAGTAACTCACTCGCCTTCTTCAGATGTAGTAGACATTTGGGACCCGACGAGTATCATAATGGAAGATAGACACGTCTCGCCAGCCGTCTTGTATATACAAGTATCTGTTCTTCAGGTATATATCTCTCCTCCTCCTGGTTTTGTATCCTCAGAAACCAAATCTTTGAATAACATTTTCGAGGGGATCCAAATAATGTTTCTGCAGGAACAATACAAAATGGTGACAATCGCGGAATACAGATTGCCTGAGGCGAGAGTAGGAACACAGATGTTTTTCGACTTCCCTAAACAGATTCAAGCACAAAGAGTTTCGTTTAAGCTACTTGGAGATGTTGCAGCTTTCGTGGATGATCCTGCAGAAACTGATGATTTGAGCGGTCGGGCTTCTCCTTTTGCTGCAGGACTGTCTTTAGTAAACAGGATCAAGCTATATTACTATGCCGATCCTTATGAGGTAGGCAAATGGGCTTCTCGTGTGTGATCCTTACGTGTGATTTCCTTGGTTCGATCACATCACTTTTCGTGGTGAGA